CGGGGAGCAGGCTCCACCGCGCCCACCCGCGCTCCGGCCTAAGCCATTTCCCTCTCCCAGCCCCAGTTTCCGCATCTCTAGAAGGGGGTTGCAATACCTACATGTCACATTGGTGGCACGATTTAGCAGGTCTAGATCAGGACCTGACCCCCGGGAGGATCTGAATAAATAAAAGCAGGTCTCTACGTCCCCAATTGTCAGTGATGGACCCCGTGGAGGCGGGACGATGATGAAGATGCAGGAAAAGGCCCAAAAGCCCCTCCATGCACCCACTGTCCCCGAGGCCCTCCTAGTTAGAACGAGGAAACGCAGCTTGCCTGGCGTGGTACTTGCTGGGTCGCATAGGAAAGACACCTGCTCTTTGCGTCTGAGGAGGAAGACACAGTGTCAGGTCTCCTGAATTCCTCTCCAGGACACTCCGTGGTCCTCTACCGACACGGAACTCCTTCCCTTTCCAGGACGTTCACACCCTCTGGACACTTCTAGTTAGAAATTCTTCCTTGGGCTAAAGAGAAATCTGCTTAGGAGAATCTAACCTCTTCTCCTGACCCCACAAGCTTAGATGAGGCTTTTCCATTTCTCCGTCCCTCAGGAGTGAGATCGACAGAAGTTCAAATTCCCGTTCCTCATCTTGCTTGTTATACTTTGATTATCTGAGTTTTAGTTTCCTCGTCTATAAAATAGAGAAAGAATCTTAGCTGTTTATGAGGATTAATTGATATGATATAGGCATTGCACAAAATGCTTTATTTCATTTTTTTGTTATTATAAAAGTAATAGAAGACTTCTAATCAGAAATAATAACGAAAGTTTAAAATAAAAAGCATAAACTCTAATAAAAGACATTTGACAAATAAAGAGGACAAACATTCTTTTCTCATCACACAGTATATTTACTACTAAAATTTTGCTGTTTCTTTCCACTCTTTATTCTGCCTGTTTTTCTAAATTTTCAATTTACAGTAAAGTTACAAAAGTACTAGAGATTTCCGGTACATCCCTCAGCTAGTTTCAAATTCCTCCAACGCTGCCATCTTGCATTACCATAATGCATTTGTCAAAACAAAGAAACGAACATTGCTGAATTAGCGTTAACTAAACTATAGACTTTACTTGGATTTCATCTGTTGTCCTTTTTTCTGTTCCGGGACCCATCTGGGATTCCATATTGCATTTAGTCGTCATTGTGTCCTGTCTTTGACACTTTCTCAACCTTTCCTTGTTCTTCTCATGACCCTGACAGTCTTGGGAAGCACTGGGCAGGTATTTTGCAGAAAGTCCTCAATTTTTTTTTCTGATGCTTTCCTCATGGCCAGACTGAGGTTACAGGTTTTAGGAGAGGATACTACCAAGGTGAGGTGTGCTTCCTCATCACGGCCTCTCAGTGACCACATGCCACCTCCATGACTTCTCACTGTGGTGTGAACCTTGATCAATCACTGTGGTGTTTCCAGGTGCCCCACTTAAAGTTGCTGTCTTCCCCTCTCCGTTTGCTATTCTTTGGAAACAAGTCACTAAGTGCAGCCCACCCTCAGCGGGGAGCTAAGCCCCACTTCCGGGTGGGCGGAGCATCCAAACAAATTACTTGGAATTCCTCTGTAAGAAAGATTTTCTCTTCTCCCCCATTTATTTATTTATTCAAGTATTTATTTATGTCAGCATAGACCTGTGTATATTTATTTTATCCTTTGACTTAGGATCTAATACTACATTATTTATTTTGTTCCAGCTTTGAGACTCTCGGGTCCCTTTGCCGTACCCCCATCGTCTGTCCTCTGAGCACTTCCTGTCTGACGATACAGGATGCCCCAGGTTCATCTTGTCTTATTCCTGCCCCAGTCCTACAATCAGCCATTTCTCCCAGAAGCTTTGGTTCCTTTTATTGGAAAATGGTGTTTAGGAACCACCATCTGGTCAGTGACAGCGTTCCTTCTCACTAGTAGCCTATTATTTTTGTCTTTTTCTTCTCTTGCATAAACATTTACAAATACACCCCAGGACCCTGCTGAAATCAGGTCCAGCCACGACCTTCAAGGAAATTTTCAACAGAAAATTTCAAATTCTTCTCTTTCATTTCACCTTTATCTTTTCCCAGGTTCCTGGGCACAGAAGTGGACTTACCAAAACTAGCAGGCAAAAGCCTACTATAACCAATATATTGAAACTATTTCGTTGCCATTATAATTTGTAGTTATATACTTACCCATGTAATTATTGGCTTAATGTATCCTCAGCAACAAAACAGTTGGCTTCTGGAGGGTAGAGACCAGGGTACCAGGCTGCTTTGCTCCCCAGTGTATCCCCAGCGTTTTGCACAGGGCCTGGCACCTAGTAGGTGCTCAATAAACCAGCATCATTGAGACTTGCTGAATGGATGGCTAGAAAATACTTCCTTAAGATAGATTCCTGAAGTAGAATTTCTAGGCCAAATTGTGTGCTTGATTTTATAGCTGCTAAGGGTGTGTTTCGGTCATGCTAAAGGCTGCTGAGCCTCTAATATACCAGATGAGATAAGGAAGGAGCTGAGGGAAACGGAACACGGAGTTACACAAGGGCCTCTGGCCCAGGAGGAAGTTCTGCTCAGCAGAGGAGATGGAAAAGAGTGGGACTTCCTGCACGTTTCCAGAAACATTAGCAGATGTGATTCTCTGAGCACCTACTCCAAGCAGGCCCTATACAACCATTCACTCAATCCTCCTTACAAGCAGCCAAGACGAACGTTATTAATCCCACTTTATGGATAAGGAAACTGATGCTCAGAAAGGCGAAAGGACTTCCCTAAGATCAGGCAACAAGAAAGTGGGGACACTAGGATTTTACCCAACTCTGCTGGGCTCCTCTTGCAGGCCAGAGAACATGGCAGTTCTCTTCCCCACATGTCTTAGCAGACCCTGTAAGACTGGCAGATTTCTGCTCAGCCCAGCTTTGCCTAGAATTGGAATAGTGGTTGTAGGCTTTGGAGATAGAGCTGGGCACAAATCTTGGCTCCATCACTTCTTAGCTGTGTGACCTTGGGCAAGTTCCTCAACCTCTCTGAGCTTCAGTCCCCTCTGTACAATGGGGACTGGCGGGAGTGGAGCTGTTGGTGAAAATGATAGTGTAACACAGGCACATGGGCAACAAACCAAGTGCTCAACTTCACGTCCTATCATTATTTCCGAGGGCCTCCTGTTCCTCTGACATTTCTCGGAGATCTCAGATCTCATGTGCTTCTCTCATCACCCAGCTTTTATTTTAGGAAAATAAGACTCCAAGCGGGAAACAGTCTTCCTTGCTGTTATACAATATGCAGTTGGAGAAACTGAAATTTGAAGCCAGATCTGTGGTTGCCATTGCCCAAGGCCTTTCCCCTTCTCCAGGCTGGGAGCACCCTCTTGGTTCTCCCTGGCTCCCTGGGAGCTGAGCAGGGTACAGAGAGGGAGGCTCATGTTCACACAGAGCTGGGGAAAGTAGAGCGGAACGGAGACCCGAGGAGGATGCCTGCAGCAGCCCAGAGTGGGAGCCGTCGGTTCACCTACCAGTCTCCATCAGAGCTTTTGGAATCTGAAGGTGAACGGCTTAGGCCTCTTGTAGGCAGCCACTGGTCACAGTAACAGGGTGACTCAGGGGGACTGGGGACAGGGGCTGGGCCCCTGCCTGCTGTATTGGCACCACACACTGTTCCACATGGTATCATATGGCCTGGCGTTTTCCAGCGACATACAAGGGGGCAGGGTGGTCTTGCGTTAGTTGCCTCCTCCTTTTCAGGTGGGGAAAGCACTGGATGGTGGTTGTCACAGTGCCCTGCCGTCCACGTAAATGTGCACCAACTTGGCATGTTGGCCCAGCTGTCAGAAAGGTCCAGGCCTGGGTGTGGGGAGAGGTGGATACAGTCTCAGCTCCCAGGGTGAGTGAGGGCTGAGGCTCGAAGCTCGCTGCATGCTGGTCCCCTTATGCACGTCTGTCCCCACAGCCTGGAGCCTTCCCTGAGCTCCTGTGGACTTTTTCCTCTTGGTACAGGCCCTAATGGCTGCTCTGAAGTGGCCTTGAGAAATGGGCTCTTTCATAAGTCCCAAGGCAGTCTGTCATGTGATAATACCTCTGGGTGTAGGGGGTACCCCACCAGAGCAGGTACATGGCCACCCATGGGCCCCGAAGCTGTCGTTTCTCTTTCTCTCCTGAGATGCACTCTTCCTGGGAGATCAAGACCCCACCTCTTGCTAGAGGCTTAAGTAGAGACAAGTGCAGAAAACTCACAAGATGAAGCCAGAACCACTCCCGGCCCTGGGAACTATAGGGGCTTGAGAAGTGATCTGCTGTCTTTTCTGTTTTCTAGAGATTCTGTAACACGGTTTATAAAGAGCTTATGAATAGCTGTCTGCCAGGGATCCCTGAGACCATGCGGAGACCACCTGCAGGAGTGCTCCCTCCTCTCGTAGATTTTCCCTGGAGGAAAAAGTTACTTCTGGAAAAAGATATTTACTATCCTCATATCCTCAAGGAGATGAGCATGTCTGGTTGTAAAACTTCAAAGGACTGACTCCTGGTGTGGTGGGAAAGTGAGCCTCTTGTTTTCTTGACCTTGTGAGCAGGGAGCAGACCAAGGACCTTTGTGTGAGAGGAAAATGAGAAGGAGGGGCAGGGGGCGAGGAGAGGTGGGAGGGATTCCAGGCCGAGAGGAGAGAAGAGGAAAGGAGGAAGGAGAGCATAGAGAAAACCGGGGGAGGGGAAGAGAGGAAGTAAGGGAAGGGAGTGAATGAGGAGGTCTGGGAGTCTTCAGGGTTACTCTGAGAAGCTCCCACAGTCCAGTCCCAGGGCCTCAGAGAAGGCATAGGGGATGCTGGTGAGAATGAGGGGGATCCCAAGACACTTTGCAGGGGCTGGGATCAGTAGGGGTGGCTGTTGAGGAGGGCTAGTCAGAAGCTGCTCAGGCCTGAGAACAGGCCAGGTCCCAAGGGGGAAGCTGGGGGAGA